AGTACTCAGAATAGATCTGGAAGTCTGCTTGCTGGGGACACAGCTGAAGGTCAGGGTGGCTGCCTCCTGTTTGCCCAGGCAGCAGGCCACAGCCATGAGGTGAGAGGGACAGCAATCTCTGCATTTGTTTTAGGAACTGGTTCTACTGACTTGGTGGGGTACAAGCTATGTGTTGTCACCCCAGGGATGGGAAAAACCTGTGCTGCATGCATGCACATCCTCCGAGCCACTCAGCTTTCCCAGCAGGGCTTCCAGGAGGAATTCTGATTATGCATTTCTTATTTGTCTTTTAATGAAATCAATGGTGCTAATCAGGGTTATCAAGGCTAAGCAGGTAAGACCTTGGAAGGTAGAATCTCTTAGCTGCTTCAGCAGAGGACAAGACAGCCTCTGCCCAGTAAGGCTAGCAGCTTCTTATCGGTGAACCTGGTGTGGGGAATTCTGGGAAGAGATAAAGCAAGGGAGCCTTGCAGAAAGACATCGGGGAGTGGGGAGTAGGAGGGGCAGGCACTGCTTAGGGCTCAGGGAGCCTAGCAGGATGTATCCAGACACACTCACGTGTTCCAGAAAGCAGGCACCCAGCTCGCTCAGGTGTGGCCTCTCTGTGTTGAACTTCTGCTCCAGAGCCTTCACGAAGGCCTTCTGGCAGCGGTAGATGTCCTCAATGTTCCCGAAGATGGTGCGCAGCTGCTCTTCACTGAACATGTCCTCCCGCTTTCGGCACTGGCGGACATAGCCCTGGGGGATGGGGTGGGCCCACGCTCTCTAGGGACCCACCTCTCTACCCTTCCATGTGCCACGCCCCCAAACCAGTCCACTTCACCACCCGACCCCACCCATCCTGTTCTACTCATAGCTTAGGGTCATACATTTCATAATCCTCACCTCTCCAAGCAAGCCCTGCCTGCCTTCCTCACCTCGCAGATGTCCCGAAGGTGCTTGATATAGTCCCGCTCCGTGCTGAGGATCTCATTGATGACATTGGTGCGCATCTGGTCCTTGCAGCTCTGGGCCTCTGGGACGTTGTCGGCGGCCTCTCCAGCCCCGGCCCGCGGGGCCTCGTAGTCATCCGCGGGCTCATCCTGGTTCACCCGCAGCTAGACAATACAAAACAGACGAGAGCCTGCCACCCTCCTCGTCACTCCCTGAACTCTGCTCCAGGTCGTTGGGAGCAGAGGTCAGTAGCTCCCACGGGACACACAGGGCATACCTGCAATGTTCCTACAACTACCTCCTAGGCACAAGGCCAGGGCGGGGGATGGTAGGGGTTTGATGACCACAGCTGATGTCAAATTCACCCCTCTAGTAGGGCTGTGTTCTCAGCAGGGATTGGAGCAAGCACTAGGAACTAATGATCCAGACATCAGGTGCCAGGTAGAGGCCTTGCCAGCTGGTTAGCTATTAAGTTTAGGAAAGGGCGGTGGGGCTGGGAGACATCTGCACAGGAGGAGTTCCTGTGTACCTGGGAATTCCCTCCATTTGGGAGTCTACATCAAAATGTCCTTCTCTGGTGACCAGATGAAGCCTAAGGTTGGAACTGGGTCACCTGCTCTCCTGGGTATGACATCACTGTCTACGCCTCCTGAGATTTCTCCCTCAGGGCTGTCTGTATGTTACATGTTCCCCACACACCCTCAACGAATACCATAGTTGTGGGTAGAAGGCATGGGTTTCTTGAAGCAGTGGTATGCTAATGCATCATAGTCTTAGATTTCTGACCTGCGCTTTTCTCTAGCCCGGGAGGGCTGCGAGCAAGGGCCTGGGTGTGTGTGTGTGTGTGTGTGTGTCCACGTGTGCGCATGCACATGCGCACAGAATGTCACAGTTCTGACCCACACCCATCCAGTCTGAGGTACCAAGTAACAGCAAAACTGAGAGGGTGACCCATGCTCCATGCCTGGAACTGCAGAGCTGTTTGGGGCTTGGACTTCTGAACAGAGCCAGGAGTCTTCAGAAGTTTGGGGAAAGCACAGACTGGAGCCATACCCGTACAAAGCTGGCAGGGAACCACCCCTCGCCATCTGCAACGCGGCCCCACCACCATTCTCTGTTGGTGGCATCCATCACTTCGATGACATCGCCGGCTTTGAAGCCCAGTTCCTGGTCATCCATGGTAACATGGTCCCACAGGGCTTCGGCACATACCACACTGCCATCACTAATGAGCTGTGGAGAGAGCCAAGGCAGTGGAGTCAGTGAGGCAAGGCTACCCTAACCTGCCCTTACCCAGCAGCCCTGGAAGCAGGGATCCTGGCCTGCTATACAGAAACTAAAGAAGTCTATCTATCCCCCCCCTCCCGCCCCCTCGGGGCAGGGCTGTGTCTTGGGACAGTGAGGGAGCCAGAAGTGAATTCATTCACACCTTCAGCTATAGAGACTGTGGCCTCCGCTTCAGTGCCCTACACTGAGATGCCGGACTGGACACACACTGGGACATGCTGGGACATGGCAACTGGCAGCTGCTACCCACACTTCTAGGCAGCCATTTAAGAGGGGGAACTTGTTCCCTCTGCAGGTTTTTGCCTGGCCTGTGAGGTCACCCAATTAACAGTGCTGTTTTACCAATGACAGTGCCCATCACAGACAGCAGCTGGATCATTTTCATTGTGTTTTATTTAAAGGGTTAAAAAAAAAAACTTGCAGAAGTAGTCACATGACACCACTGCTCCTTATAGCACTGGCACCCACACACGCACTGCACTGAGGGACGGTCCTCCTCAGACTTTAGATCCTGAGCCCTGGAGGTCTGTTTTAATCACTGTTTTAGTGACTTTCCTAGGCTGGAGAAGAAACAGACAATCCTTAAAGCTGCTAACTCTAGCAGGTAAGCCTCTGCCATCGAGTCAGTCACATGTCTGGCTGAGAGCTCTGTGCACTGGATCTTTCTGTCCAATGACTGACTGGTGAGGCTCCTCTCCCCACTGTGTGGCCTGCCCCTGGCCCCTTCCAGGCGGCTCTGATGGTTGGACCTCCGTCCCTCATTCTGATTCGAAGGCTGTCTTCCGCTTTATGAACAGATGGCTGATGGCCGAGGGTAGGATACAGTGGGGTAGGGGATGCATATGGCCTCCTCCTCGACTAGCCCAACAGAGAACTAGAAGGCCACCTCCAAGCAGGTCCCCTCACAACCCAGTCCTGCTTCTTCTAAGCGGCTTTATACCCTGTGCTTTATTCTCCCTTGGCCTCCCTGGGAACTTCCTATTTGGATCCTCGTATCAGCCCAGGAAAGTGGAGCTCTCTGCCCCAGTGTCTTAGAGCTCTCTGTGCCCAAAGCCCCACAAGGATCCTAGTACAGAGCTCTGGGTTCCTGGGGACAGCAGCCCTCCAACCTCTGGGCTCACTGTCTCTGTAACTGTGACTTTTGGTAGCTAAGTCTGGCTGACACAGAGCTGGTATAAGACAGGAGGACTCAGCAGGACCACAGTAGGAGCCAGTCTGCTGCAGACCAGGAGCCAGCAGGCTTCTTGCAGCAGGCTGTCATGTGAAGTCTTGAAGATAGAGCAGAAAGAGGTAAAGCCAGTGAGAGAGAACGGGGAATGTGCCTGACCTGGGGTCTGTAATTCTGGCCACAGATCTGGGGAAATAACCCAGGTACTCAACGTGGACCAACTTCCTGCTTTATATGAACTGGGTGAGGGATCTCCCTCTGTCCCTGGAGTCCCTCAAATAAACATTGAGAGGGAGGGAGGGAGGGAGGCAGGCAGCCCTCTCCTTATTTTGTGGTCTGGGTAGACCTTGTGGGTCCTACCCTGCTGCTGGGACAGCTACTGAGGGCGTGGGACAAAGGCAGGGCTTTTCAGAGACGAGGGTCCAGGGTTGCGTTACTGACAGGTCCCACAAAGCCCAGTCGTGTGGAAGCCTGTAGAGTGGGAAGGAGGCACTGATCATCAATGTCGCTTCCAGACACAGAAAGCATCCAGTAGACACACTGCCGTGTCTCTGAGCATATCCTCCGAACCCGCTGCCTCTCTGATGAGCACACCAGTAAACAGACTCTCCTTGTCATGGGTATCACAAATGGAAGGCTAACATGCTCTAGCTCTGAAACCAACCATGCCCATGTCACTGCCAAAGCAAAATGTGGCTCCAAGAGGCGAGAAACACATTTTACAGAGTATCAGAGGCGAACCCCAGCTTCAGCTCGGTTCATTTCTCTGCAGAGCCCCTCTCGGCCCCACCAAGTGCACCTGCTCCTAAATCCGGCTCTCCAGCTGCCGCTGAGAATAGGAATCCAGCTGGCTTCTGCCTGGCAGGAGGAGACAGAGGTTGGCTGGCTGCCTCTGAGGTGGTGGGGCATCTGGGGTCAGGTGGGGTTTGTGCCAATACCCAGGTAAGTTAAAGATTAAGATAAGCCAGGGGCAGGGGCAGAATTCCTTCCTGTGCCTCTGGTTCTGCCTGGCTCTAAGGGAGGCTGTGATTTAGACGGACCCCAGTGGACCATCACCTCCATCACATCGCCCTCCTCCTACCTCCTGTGTTCCTCTCACAAGCGGGGTGGTGGCGCCTTCTCACCAAGCTGTCCCTGAACACCGGATGTGGTGGGAGGGTGTGTTCAGAGTGGCTGCTGCAAGTCAGACAGCAGCGGCTCTGCCCTAGGAGACTGACTGGCACTTTTTAAGGCCTAAAATAACAAAAACGCAGGTATCGCCTGCAGAGGAGCCCCGATATCCTCTACAGGCCTCCTGCAACCCCGACACAACACATGCCCTGCAGTCCGACGCACACCCTTTCCAAACAGCCCCCACTAGCAGGTCATGGCTCCTCCAACATCTTCAGTCAGAGACCCGCCATTTTGCCCCCCCCCACGCCCCAGCCTCGAAAACTGATGAAAGGTCTATTGGGCACGTGTGCCACCACGCCCCTCAGTCACCCTCACGGTGACATCCTGGGGGCACCCCCAGACCGGCCTTAACAGTGAGCACACGGGGTTGGGGGTGGGGCTGGGGGAAATCTTTCCCTCTGCGTGGGTGACAGCGGCTAGAAGGTGCCACTCACCCTGCGCGGTCCCCCGCAGTGCCGGGCGCGTGCAGCTCAGCGAAAAGCCAGCAGGAATATCAGCACAGCGTTGATGAGGACCAGCAGCGCCAGCACAGCCGAGACCACCACGCGCTGGGCGCCCGGGGGCAGGTTGCAGCGCAGCAGGGCGCGGA